TCTTCTGAAATTTATAGTGTAGTATATTCGCATATGTGACTCTAACGGCGATAGATTGTCATAATAAATGACGATTTGAAAGGTGCGTGTGTTTTTTGTTGTTCCCAATCAAAACCCAAACAAAAGTGTCCATTAAATTGACATCAAAGAAGTTTGCACTGACTGGTTTTAAGCAAACTTCCGATGTTTACCTGCCTACCCCATACACACACCCGCCGATCGTTTCAATTTTTGCAGTTTAGATCCACATGCTCCATTTGCCACTCCACTGATTCATCATAGAATAACGCTCGTACTGAAAAGCAACTCGCTTAAGTGTCACCAGTTTTATATTCTCAAAGACGCGAGGCATAGCTTTTTTTTGGATTCATTTTTCCATTTGTCTAGATGATTTGACTGATTATAGTTTATATGATAGTTTATAAGTTTATTCGATGTTTTGTAAACAAATTTTGAAATCCAACATCGTCGTCCAATACCCAACATCCAACGTCTTCCCAGCTTTTTTCTCGCATTCTATTGATTTGAAAGAGAATTTGAATTTTCTTGAGTTGTTGAGAAATGTGAATTGAATTGAACGAAATCCTCTACTTATCAGTTTCTCTCACCTGCTACGAGAGATCTTCGAAGGATTTAGCTCTTGATTTATTCTTCTTTTTTTTCCAAATCCCCAAAGGAGAAGGAGTTCCGAATTAGAAGAAACCTTCATTATAGTGCATTTATTTAGAAAAGAAGCAAATTCTTTCCTGATCAGTTCTTGAATGAAGTTATTGTCTATATTAGAATTTCGCTATTTTAAGGTCAATTGCGATAATTTCTCATCGTCATAAGAATCTTTTGATGGCAATCGGAAGTGTATTCTACAGAGGTCATCGGAAACAATAAGGAATTCATATTCTCCAAGTGTTGCATAGAGCTATCTGCCGATTTTCACTCTGCTTTTGTATATTCCCAACATGAGCGAGCGAGCGAATTCAACCCAAACTTGACTGCTTCGAAATGAACCACTTTAATTGAATTATTCTAATGGTGTCATATTCCTTACAATCACATCCCACCTAACTAGTTTCACTAATTCTATTTAAGTACCATTTGAGACTCCATCGATGAGCTAGCTCACTCGGCTGTAAGTTGAAACGAAGAGAGACAGAGAATGAAACTCGCAAAGAGAATGAGAAACAAGAGAGGCATAGAATGAGAGTGTTGAGAGTGATGAGCATATTCTTGCTTTGAATCCTCTCAAAGATCTTTAATTTTTTTTACCTTACTGGGTTTTTATCATGTGTCACGAGTGTCGTATTCTAAATTATGAAAATGGCAGTTTATTCATAACTGTTCAGATTGCTGTTTTTCTTGAATATTACTGGCACCAACTAATACCCAATAAGATTCGTGTATTGCATTGACTCATTCAAAAATTTCTTTCTATGCAAAACATTCCGTTACAGTTTTTCGATATCTTTGAGAAGATATCTCCTAGATGTTCTGAGCTACTGATAACCTTAACAAGTTGTTGATTTTGCACTAGAGCTCTATTTCAAGCTTAAATTTTACAAAATTCTCTCGGACATACCAAAGATCGAATGAATGATAGAACAAAATCCAAATTTTGTAACTTCAGGTGTTGTTTACTTGGAATTCAATGATGAGGTGAAGCGTGCCATATTGCCGTCAACGATAGCAAGTATTGATACTGTTCGAGCTTTGTTCTTGAGATCATTCTCACAGCTCACTTCACAATATCTCAGTCTACCGCACGTCAAGGTCTACATCCAAGAACCGTCAAAAGGACAGTTGTTCTATGAACTTGACGACTTGAGGTACCGTTTACTGGCGATTTTTTAAGGTTTTCTCATCTCACCGCATAATTATCCGTTCAAATTATAAGTTGAAACAAAGAGAAACAGAGAATGAAACTCGCAAGGAGAATGAGAAACAAGAGAGGCAAAGAATGAGAGTGTTGAGAGTGAGCACAGGATTCTTGCGTTGAATCCTCTCAAAACTTCTTTAAAATCGAATTGTTGATGTTTTATTTCTTAACTTACTGGGTTTCTATTATGTATCATGAGTGTCGCATTCTAACTATGAGTATAAAAAAAGCGCTGTTTATTCATAATTGTATTCCTTATGTGAAATAATTTCTTGTTGAACGGTAGTTTCGTATTCAAAATTTTCCCTAATGGGAAGAGTAAATCAGAAATGTTCTTACGGATCATTACTATTTCAAATCTCCGACAGCCTTCTGAATATTTGAAGAAGTGTTAAGTTCCGTCGTCATTCAAATTTCTTGCAAACAATCCATTTTTCACGATTAATTGATCGAGTCACTTGAATGATATACAAATCACTAACTTCAAATTTATTCCATTGAAATAAATCAACTGGTTGAACGATCCCAATCATTTCAGTGATATCAAAGATCGTGCCGTTCTGAAACTTCGTGAACAAGGAAGTGGCTTTCAGTCACCTCAACCACCGGTCAGATTCGGTGAGCCACAACAGCAACAGCATTCCGGCCCACCCTCATCACTGGACTATTTGAGTGAATCTGATGCTGAGATACTAGACTATCGGAGCAGAACCCCACAATCCTATCGAATGAGTAGTCTACGTCCGTCGAGTGCACTCGATAATCGGATCTATGGAATTGGCCCACCACCCACTAAACCATCAAGGTTACTCATTCACATATGCTCAAATGATGGCTCAAATTGATTTTTGAGCACATCTCATTCAAACAGTCAATAACTCAAGAACAAATATTTCCGTTGTCGTCTTAAAAGAGTGATATGATAATGTTTAATGAAAAAACCATCAAGTTTTATTGCTGAAAATACCATTGAAAGTTTGGACTATTCATCAAAAATCGCACGTAACATCGAATGCTTCCTTCTTGACATGTCTATTCGCATGTGAGTTAAATCTTACGATTAGCTATTTTTATGAGTTTTTCCATTGACTTTTTTAAAGTCTCCAGTCTCATCGTTAATGGAAAGATTCCAATGATTTCAGATCTCCCGTACCGCCTCGTTTCGATCCCTATTATGATCCATACGCAAGTGATACAAGCAGTCAGGATGCGCGCTCTGGCTCCGTGACACCAATTATTGATAAGGAAGCAAGGTATGGCATTTATTTTTCCAAATCTTTTGGATCACTCTCGATCAACCAATAATAGTTCATCATTTTATAAATTTCTCTTCTGTCATCTTAAATCCGAAGTATGGAAGTACAAATGGCTATAGTATCGCTAACTATAGATGACATATGGTTTTCAGTGCTTTTTATTGCCTATGCATATGGTACTTATGAACGAATGATGTTTTTATGAGTATTAAACCCAGTTTTGTTGCTCTTATTCGCATTGATCCGTGTTTGTGCGCTTAATAAAAACGTTCACTGTTCATTTTATCGAAAAAGAGAACTGGCTTAATACTTCCAGCGATATCCTTGAGAGGAACTGAAAAGTTTCGAATGTTCATTTAATGTCGAGTGAATTTAGGCGAGTTCGTCGCCATTTCATTT